CTCCACTCAGGCTCTTTGTTCATGTACTTCTGTCCATCTTTCCCCTTCTAATAACTCTTAGAGCCAGCGGCTGATCTCAGCTGAGCCTGATGGGGACAAAACTTCACACAGTGTTATGTTCATACAAGTTTTGGCAAAACAGCCACCCAGGAAGGGAGAAAAGATCCCTTTTTTTGCCTCCATCAAGAGGAAATCTGCACTGGGCGTTCATCCCTTGGCTGTGACAAGCTCCACAAGCATGGCACAAATTCGTGGGAACTCAGGTTCATGGATCACCAAACAACTTATTCAAAAAGAGATGAGCTCAAGCACTGTTTGTTGTCCTTTCTCCGGGATTTGTAAGCTAGAAACGAAGGGAAATTTATTCCCAGTATACTACAGTAATCATAAGCCATTAAGTAGGAATTTCTGCCTGCTTTCTGTTCAGTTCTACTTTTCAACAATGCCCAAGAAATGTGCTTACATTTCTCTTTAGCGAGTTAATGATTCAAATCGGAAGAAGGTTTTGCATTCTTCAGTTATAGGACACGGATTAATGATGTCTAGTACTTACAGAAAAGCAGACAAATTCATTTTATGGAGGGAGGAACGGGAGACAAAGTATTAGATTGTCTAATAAAGATTAGATAAGTCAGAGGAGAAGCACTTAGTGCTCTTTAAATAAAATCAGACATGAGCCATTCGGATTAAAATAAATACCGTGCTATTTTCTGTACGCACAAACAGTAGCTGCCCATTGAATCCTATAATCTGGTTTAAAGACAGAGGATAAACTACACAAAGACACAGATCACTGAAGAAATCATCCATCTGGCACGAGCTCACAAATATTTAGCAGTGATACCAGCCCTTAAATGCATTAAATGAAATCCCTGCTGGTACAGCCACTAGAGGGAACTTCTCCCTGCCTCTGGCCTTCGTACCAGGGAGGAAAACAGGAATTTGTACATCCAAAGGTCATAGTTACATCTCAAATGTGCATTGCATTATCTTTAAGATAGTCTAACAGCTTTAAAGTTTAGTTGCCCTGCTTATCGAGAAGCTGGGAGCTGAACCACTTCTGATAAGCAAAAATCAGAATGACATTGTTCAAAACAGAAATCCAAGACATGGACCATTGGCATTTGCATCTTATTTCGGTCTCTGCATCTGGTATTTTGGGTCAAAGTCAGCAATAGTTTATTCTCATTCTCATAGCCACATTCTTCTCTGATTTTATACTGTGGTTGGCTTGTGACTCATGTATTTAATTACTGCTACAGTCGTTGTCCTGTTCGAAGCAATTTTGCAAAAGAAAAACAAAGATTTGTTTGCTTAAAAAAAAACAAAAAAACCCAGAAGTTTTCTCTCCTCACCACTTACAAAGCAGATGGGCAGCCACAAATGCCAAAGACCCATACATTAAGGGATGCGGACAGCTGTGAGCTCTGACCAAAACCCTGGTCTTGGTGCTGTTGCGCTTTTGCGCTTTGTGCTGACATCTAGACTTGCATTTGCAGCCCAGACTGTCTGGCCCCTTCCCACAAAACAGACCAAAGAAACGAAATACTCTGGAAACAAGTAACATAACTGAAGTTCACATCCAGACCTGTACAATTTGTCTCAGGCAAGAAATGAGGAAAGGCATCACGACTGTGGGGATTCAGAGGCAGAGGAGAAGGCCACATAGGATAACCCCAGTTCCATGGCCATCCCTTTAGCCAATGCTCCCCCTTGCCTAGGCAACTCCAAGACAGCAGCAAACACCAGGCACTGATTGTTAGACAGACTGAAGACCCCAAGCCTGCTCTGAGCAGGGCATGCTGCAGTTTCCCCAGTGTGTGTGTCACCCATAAGCAAGTAGCATTGCTAAAATTGCGCTCACATCCATCAGTATAATATGCCCTCCATAATCTCCTGTGCTTCGCGTATAATGCAGTCACATGCACACACCAACAAAGAACTTCAGCTCTTCTTGTCTGATCTACTTCGACGTCCTCAGGCAAAAACCCGTTACAGGCATGTTTACAACCACAACACTCTGCTCTCAGTACGTGCATCTAAATAATTGAAGCTGAAGTAGAGAATTTGCCACCATCCCACTCCCCTGCTGAGTGCCAAGGCAGGTTGGGGACAACTGTTTGGGAGAGCTGTTTCTCTCCTGTTGTTGCAATGCAGCAGGGTATAGAATACAGGGTATATAAAAAGCAAGCCTGGACCTTCCAAAGATGCTAAGGTGGAACAAGATGTTCATAAAAGTATCAAATAATAGTCTGATACTGACACACCCAGAGCTCTTCCACTTGGAGATCTCAGCATGTTTGCTGTGCCTTGCAGTTTTACAGAGGCGAGTTCAAATCAAGTGCAGACATGCTGTCAGGTCACCAGAATTAGCCCAGAGGTAGCAGGAGCCCCAACTCTGTACTGACAGTCCTAGCAGGGCTCCAAAGAGCATAAACCAGTGCCAAATACTGCTGCATATTCATCTCCCTCTGTTCCCTCAACACTGCGGGGAAGTTTGCAGGGACTGGGTGCCCTAGGGTCCCCATGGCTAAATGTGAGGGCAAAAATAGACTTTGATGGTCCCTTCTGTCAAGGCTTCTACTAAGGAGAGCTGCTTATTTCAGGCCTTCTATAAGTCCTTGCTAGTATTGCCATTACTGCAGCAAAGCCAGGATTTTACTCCATGTTTCTGAAGTGTGGCTCCTACCTGACAGATAAATGTGATTAGGACAGCGGGCACTGGTTCTACTTCTTTGTAAAAGTTTGTGTTCTCTTCAGCACATGACCTACATGCCTGCTAGGGTCATTTTCTTCCAGTGAGATTGTAAGGTGTATCGGGCAGGACTTCCCACTTCCACGTTAGTGCCACACATGAATATGGACATGTTCAACCCTGTCCTATTCAACCATGTGCAACTTGCTGGGGATCCATCTCACTCAGCTTTAGGAGTCTAAAAGTCAGACATCCCAGCAGAAGTGGGTCGGACAAACTGCCCTCTGAGGATGTCTGAAAATGAGATGAGTTCTGCAAATGCCTGTTTTTGTCCACTGACTAGAAAGACAGCCACGAGGTACACAATTGGACTCAAGCGTTTAGCTTTCAAAAGTCTAACTTAAGTTAGGGGAATCCCACCCTAGCCTTTAATTTGCAAGTAAGTAAGGAAGTCAACAGTGTAAAATAATGCCCAGACCCGGCTGTGAGGAAAAGCCTTTTAGTTTTCAATTATATCTCAACAAAAATCTGTGACCATCTAAAGTTTTGTGTTCTCTTCAGACCATGACAAACCACAGCAAGGAGGTGGGAGCATTCAGGAAAGTATCAGGTTTGCGTGGAGTATGAATTTGCGATTGAACAAGTCATGTGTTTGCTGATCTTGGAATACTGGCCAAGAAACACCAGATGTACCGAACAGTATTATTTATGTTGCAATTAATAAAAACACATCCATCACAGTCATCCCTGAATTGGCAAACAATATTATGACCCACACAAGTACACTGGGGCAAGTATCAACATAATTAGCTCAGCTGCATTTCACCTCCAGCTATGCAGAGTGCACTGCCTGGGGGAAAATATTCTCTTTGCTCTTGGAGCCACTCTACACGTTAGTGACTAATCTCCAAGGAGAACAAACATACAATTGGAAATAATCACACCCGATTGTGGTTTTTTGTTGTTTTTTTTTGTTGTTGTTGTTACCACACAGGTTTTGTCTACCGAAACTGTACGAGTGAGGGTTGGTCAGACCCATATCCAAGACCTGATATCGCTTGTGGCTACAATGTCAATGACACAACAAACGAGGCGAGAGTGAGTCTGAGTGCTGTGACCACAGATCTGCGGCTTTGGGGCCCCGGGGGAGGAACATGTTAAGGACAGACTGAATGATGTTGTGATTTAACTCAGGTGGGGTTATTTTTACAGATGTTCTTCAGCATAAATGCTTCCTCAAAATGATCAGAATGGGTTGCTCAGGGTAAAACTTCAGTAGCTGATTTTACAAGAAAATGTATTTGCTAAATAGAAGGAGACACCTTTCTCTTGGTGTGGGTTGATTACTACCAGACAGTCAAAGATATATATGTGAATATGTTTCCCTGTAGCATTCGTATTTCATGACTCTGAAGACCATGTACACCATTGGATATTGCACCTCCCTCGTGACGCTGACAATTGCATTAGTGGTCCTGGTGTCTTTCAGGTAAGGAGAAGCATCTCTGGTTTCCATTTGGCCAGGACTTCTGGTCATCCCAGCTGACACAGATCCTTCTACTGGCTTTCAGGGCAAGTTAAAAATTGAATTATTTCTAAAAACCTCCACAGAAATCAGTGACAAAAATTATCTCTGAGTCTTGTCTCCTATAAAATGTTAGGGCTGCTCCTCATACTGTGCTCTTCTGTCCTTTCTGAAATGTAGCTGGATGTATTTTGCAGACTGGTGTTTGCACCACCTCCCTGCTGAGGTCTTCCCATGACTTCAGTGTCCCTTCAGCAGAGTGTCTTTCCCCCTGCTGTTCTTTTTCCTACTTAAGACTGTGGCTAAAACTTTGCTCTAAGTGCTGCTCCTCTGACTTCTGGGAAGGTTTCAGGTTTACAGCAGCCATCTGACAGTCGTCTTATCTTCACGCATCCTTATAACCTGGAATTTGTACTTTGCTGCTTATTCAGTGAAATTAATTTCCCTTACAGTGTCAGGGAGGCACCTCCGGGCAGAAGGAAACCCAGCCACTTTGCAAACTTGTCTTCAGGCTGCACAGCCTCCGGATCCAGATTATGTGGAGATTTAATACAGAAAACATTGCAGGCACAAGTGCACTGTGCAGACAAACCAAATAAATCTGCCCAGGTGTGGATAAACACCTTGGGTTCATGTTACTCCATAAAGGAGGGAGGGAGGGAGGCTAGACCAAGCATATTAGCGTGAAATCTCATTCTTCTGGCAACGTTCAGCTTGTTTTCGTACCTGAGTGGAGCAGACGTGACTTCAGCTTTTTAAGGTCTTCTCTAGGATATCCCTCTTGGGAAATGCATTAGTCTTCCTTTCACAGACAGAAAAACAGCCTTCTTAATATGCCAATTTAGCATTAACAAGCTTTACAGCCACAAGCTACCTGCATTGGATAGAAATGTAACTTCACAGGATCTCTCTCTTTTTGTAACAGAAGACTTCGCTGTACAAGGAACTACATCCACATGCATCTCTTCACATCGTTCATTTTGCGAGCCTTGTCCAACTTCATCAAGGATGCTGTTTTGTTTTCCTCTGAAGACACAAATTACTGCGGGTCATACACGGTAACCCTCTGCCTTCCAGCTTGCTCCCTGCCTCAGTTTCTCAGCAGGATCCTAGCAGTAGTTAGTGTGCAGGGGAGGAAATCTCTGTCCCAGCTTTCTTTTCAGTGTGTGGGATTACAGGACAAGAGAGGTATGCCCTGTCCCTTCTCTGTCACTCGATCTTGCGTGTTGGTTGTTCCTGGATGAGATATCCCTGTTTGGGAGTATTCTTCATGAGTGATGGAGGTGTGAGGATGCAAAAGCAGCCCAGGCTGGAGCATGCACACAGAAACCCAGGTGCCATTCCTCCTGGTTATAGATGCCCTTACAAGTACTGGAGCAGAGAGCATCCAGGTTAGTCTGACGTAGGTACCTGCATTCATCATCTTGATTGCATTGACTAGATGGCCACAGAAGACACCAGGAGTTCAGCACATTGATCCAGAAATGCCTAAACCTGGGTGTCTCAGGCTGTGAACACGGGATACACCACCAGGGTGGAGATTCTTACATGGATTTTAGATCCTGGTGGATGGGGATGGCAGGAAAAGTACAAGAATACATTAAATATTGCTGAATTGTATTGCAGTGTGAGACCTGATAGTAAGATATGGGTTTGCACCCAGAGAGCCTGGAAAAGGAACCTCACAAATTTTGAATTGTTTTTTCCTTTTTATTGGCAGCACACTATCTTGAAAATGGGGGGTGGGTGAGCACTGCAGACAATGTTCAATGCTTTAAACCAAAAGATAAGAATTAAGGAGAGAAACAAAAAAAGGTGATTTTTTTGTTTTGTTTTGTCCTCCCGGTTTTGCTGGATTTTTGTTGCTGAAGAAGAACATTTTGAGCAAATTTTAACTTGTCTTTATCAACCCTTTTTCTTAGGAAAAAAAGACTGACAAACACATCCACATGCTTCTCTAAGGTGATATTAGTGCTACTGATACTAACAAGGTAGTAATGAGGAAACTGCTCTAAGTGAGAAAGTAACCCAAACCCATGTGTCCATGACATTCAGTTCTTGCTAGTGAGGCAGTTGATTAATGCATTTATGAGTGCCAGCCGTGCTTTCTTGTCATGTGAACGCCTGTCTCAAGGCCACTTGTTTAGTCCCCTAATTGCTATAAGATCTCTGTTTGCCAAGATTTACTTACATCTCTCCCTCTGTTAGAAGGTAGATACAAACCCAGGCAGAAGCTAATTATTCTCTCTTTCCTCAGGCTGGGTGTAAGCTCACCATGGTCTTCTTTCAGTATTGCATCATGTCTAACTACAGCTGGCTCCTCGTGGAGGGACTGTACCTCCACACTCTCCTGGTTATTTCTTTCTTCTCGGAAAGGAAGTTCCTCTGGAGGTTCATTGCCCTCGGATGGGGTACTGGTTCTCCTTTCAGTAAGAATAACTGTGGGTTTGGTTTGCCTTTGGGGTGGACTTGTGGAGCAGTAACTAGCTTTTCTAACCACAGGTGCACCAACTGTGTTTGTGGCTGCATGGGCGACTGCTAGGCAACTCCATGAAAATATCGGGTAAGTTGTGGGGAGGGGGGGAAGGCGACACGCTGGGGGAAGCATGCAGCTCCCACGCAGGCTGCTCCACGGGGTCCTGCTTGCAGCCAAGCAAACCAACCACCACCCTGCTGTGGTGCAAGCCTGGATCATAGCGTGGGCAGGAGTAGAGGTCCAGATGAGCAACCTGAGAAAGAGCCTCAAATTTCATTGGAGCATTTTCAAGGCTAGGACGTAGTCTTCAAGTATGAATTCAGCCCGTGATTTTTTCAGCATCTTTATTTGACTTTCTGATCAGCGAAACTTTGTTCCTTTCTCTTTTCCAAAATTTTGAACGGTGGCTCTACTGTAAGGGCTACTACATTTGTCCTGTGCAGGTGGACAGTTTTTTGTCAGAAATGTTGTATAGCTAAGTGAGAACAGGAAATTAATTTCACAGAAGAAGGGAATAGGGGCCTATCTGAAGGGCAAAACAGACTAAATCTCTTTGAAAAGGCACCAGTGTTTTCATAACTGACTGCACCTTCTCGTCTATTTTTACAGGTGTTGGGACATTAACACTGATGCCAATACCTGGTGGATCATTAGAGGCCCTGTGGTTTTGTCTATTTTTGTAAGTCTTTTCTGGGACAAGCAGATTCAAACTGTATTTTCAAATACTGTGAAGTCAGAGATCATCTACTCAATATGCTTTAGAAGTGTGTTAATGAACTGATCTTAGACATGTGCCTGAACTGGTGTGACACATGAATTACTGCTTAAGCAACTTCTGCTCAGCAGGATTTAGTCAGTAACTAATGCCCCAAAGCTAAGTTCACAAGGAAAGCCAGAGTGTCTTCCCAAGAAGCAAGAGCCTGAAGATCAGGTTTCCACATCCTGTTGATTTCATATGAACTTGGCTGGCTTGTGGAAGCTTGTTTTGGACTGTTTCAAGTAAGGCTCTGGAGGAGAAACGAAGTGGCTGTACATTTCAGTACAATCGCCTTTGTGTCTCCCGGTCAATGCCCCTCTCAGCAAAGCCAAAACCAACTTGCCTTACATGACCATTAGCTTTTGTTTTCAGCAATGAAAGCAGCTCACAGGCTGCATGCATCAGGACTGCAATTATACTATTATGGAATTACTCACTGAAACAAGGCACAGGCATTGAAACTCAGCGTGAACCTGCCCAGTACAAGGCAGTAGCGATCTCAAGAACAATTTGGTACATGTAATACTCAGCACCTATGGTTTGAGCATTTGCTGGTGCTCACCCTCAGAGCCTTAGGTACCAAGGGGCTGGAGCTCCTTCTTGGAGATAGTCATTCTGCCCAACGGAGATGCTCTGGGGCAGATCACTCTGCAACGATCTATCTGAAGCCCTAGTACAGAAACAGAACTGCTAATTACTCTCAAGTAACCCGCTGACACTCCAAGTGAGAACCCAAGAGTTGGTTGAGGTTTTCATGTTGCCAATAGGAGCCATTATGTTTGCAAAAGACAAACTGCAACACTTGCGTGCTCTCTTGGAAACCCAAGCAGCAGAGATGGTGGGTTAAAGTTCTGCTCCTATTTACCACTGAGCAATCCTTCACCGCCACAAGACAACCGGAAGACCACACAAGTGATCCAGGATCAATTTAACGAGGCCACAGCACGTATTTTTCTCAATGAACCTTTACGCTCCAGGAGCCACTCTGCAATATTTAAGTGCCAGCAAGGCCCAAGCATTCTGCAAGGCAGAAAGCACAATCTGAATTTCTCTTTTGACGGCCACCACCCACTACCCCCTTCCAAGTTTCCTCAAAAATCCTGATCACATCTACCTTAGCCACTTAAGGCGGGAGCCGCCTACATGACTCTGCCTCTTTACCTGAAAGAGGCTTTTCTCAAACCCATAGCCACAGACAAACAAACAGCCAGTCCTTCAGAATTCAGATCTAATCTCTTTATTCCTCACAGCCCACAGTCCTTAGCAGTTCAAAGGGCAGAAAATCAACACCGATAAACTCCTTTGTGCTCCGAGGCTAACACTTGCTGAGGTGCTGCCCGCGGGCAATCCCTCCCAGCAGCAATCTCCCCGTCCCTCCTGCTCCCCACAGTTTTCATTAGCAAGAACTCCTGCTCAGACTACACTAATTAAGCCTGACCCAGTGGGTTAAAAATCCCTGCATCCCCAGCTTGAGCCTCCTTTCCCCCCCCAACACCCTCAACATACTTGTCTTTCCTTCATGTCCCCCACCCCGAGCTCCTCACAGCTCTGCTCCTTTCCTGACTCCCCAAACTTCGAGACACCCTCAGCAGCCCAGACCACGCAGCCACAGTTACTCCCTCTTCATCCAATAATTTACGGAACCCGGGGACATCCTGGGTCTGTCCCACCTACAGTAGACGCGTTTCTCTGAGGGAAACACACCGCCTCAGAGTCCAGCTCCAGCACCCACAAGCCACCATGAAGAGGATGCAGGGCTGCGATGATGTTTTGAGGCGTGGGGGAGGGTTGAGGGCCTGCCATGGCGCAGGGTGTTGTGAAAGGGCTGTGGGGTTGCAGGAGGAGAGCAGGGCCATATTGGAAACCCTGATGCGAAGGGCAGTTACAATCCAAGGTGGCTACACTCTGGCCGTGGGAGAGAGCCACGCTCAGGCTCTGCCTCCCCTGCGCCTCCTGCTCTTTGCCTGAGGGTCAAACGAGCAGAAACAGCTATTGCTTCACCTTCGCCCAAACTGAGCAGCAGATCAGCATTTTATCTGATATCCACCCTTGGAGAGGGGGAAAACCCAAAGGAAGAACTTCAGTGTTGACTCTCTCCTATCCCCACTTTTAACTACTTTGCTTCCATCGTCCCAACCCACGCTGTGTCTTTTGGCAGGGAACAAATGGCATTTGCAGTCCCAGTTAGCAAGTGGTAGCGCCAGCACTGCCCGTTTGCTGGCATCCAAAGCAGGGCCAGACTGGGCAGAGGCTGTCTGAACCCCACAGCCAGAAGGGATCCTACGGATGTGCCTGGTCTTCCAGCCCTTCTGGTGATTTGCCCGGATAATAAGCCTTCATCGTCCCCATACCTAAAGCTGCAGCAAACCGGTGGGGAAAGCAGCCAGCACCCAAGCCCAGGGTGCTGCCAGGGCCCTGCCAGGGCCAGGCAGGCCCAAGAGGCAGGGACAGGGACTGGGATGGGGACAGGGATACGGGCAGGCCAGCCCCAGCCCCTCTATGCTGCCTGCTCAGCCAAAACACCCCAAATTGGCTCTGCTGATACCTGGCAGTTACATAAGTGGTGACAGGGAATTTGGTTTTGTTGCCTTTTTTTTTTTTTTTCATGTCCTTACTTCTCTTTTTTGCAGGTTAATTTCATTCTTTTTGTCAACATTTTAAGAATCTTGATGAAGAAGCTCAGCTCGCCTGAAGGACGGAGCAGTGATTTCAACCAATACAAGTATGTCCCTTACATTGCGACTTTATGCCATGTGACCCCACCTGAGCCCCTCTTTCTCCTTCTGCACTGGCATTCCCCTGTTTTCATTCTCAGGAGACTTGCAAAGTCAACGCTCCTCCTCATCCCCCTCTTTGGGGTCCACTACATTATCTTTGCTTTTTTCCCCGAAGACGCAAGCAGCGTAACAATGGAAATTCAGCTGTTTTTCGAATTGGCTCTTGGATCATTCCAGGTAATACCTGATAAGCTATTATTTCTTTAAAATAAAAACAAATAGGCATAAAACACGACTCTGCAACAGAGCAGAGTCCCAATGGGAAAACCAAGCTGCCTGATTGCCCTTGAGGTGCCTCATCCCCATTCAAAAGCTGAAACTGCAGTTCTAATTCTGTGACCACGGTTCTTTTATCTTTTAGGGCTTTGTCGTGGCTGTACTTTATTGTTTTCTTAATGGTGAGGTGAGTTTTGGGTATATAACATTTTTTTTATTGCTCAAGCATGCCTCATTAATCAGTAGGAGACATTCTCCAATGAATTACACGTTTTATCTAAGGGTTTTCTTCCCAGCTACCTAACGTCACTCATGAAATACCTGCTAGACCTGGCAAGCTTAAGTAATTGTATGCCAGATGCAAACTTCACCTCTCAACTATTGCAGCCCTTTCGTAAATCAGATAGAATTATTACTGTCTGGGAACAGAGGGTGGGAGTACGGTCACACTGACAATCAACTGGTTCTGACGTATGGTGGTGTTATCTGTCACCCCATGGCTGTTTTCTTTGCTTGATCCTTGGGAGGGAATTTATCAAAAGCTGTATCCAGTCCAAGTTTATTAGGACTCTCATAAGGTAAAGCTTTTGGAAGAGGGACCATTTCCTTTGTAGTCGTATCGTAACTCCCAGGGTCCTGGGCTAGAACTTGCTCTCTGAAATGCTGCTGCTGGTAGAGGTGGGGGGAAACATTATCCATACCTGGGAGATCCTGAAGTTATTGGAAGGAAAAAAAACACCCCACCATTAGTGCCTAAGGCTGGAAGAAAAAGTCACTTTGAAATGGAGGAGGGGTTTGAAATACTTCGACTGATCCTTTAACAGGGTTCAGAAAAAGTTGTTTTGAAAGAAAATCTGCATTTTTTTACCCTAGAGTGCCAAAATGTCACGATTTTATAACTAAAATAAAAATCTTGGGAAAACATAGACCAAACACTTAGTAAGGCCAGTTAGGCCCTGTGAACAGCTTCACCTGCAGTTAAACACAAAAACATGTTAACAGAAAATTGTGCGGCTGCAGCAACAGTATCACTAGCAGTGACAAGAAGCAGCCCCTACCCTAACCCCTTAAACTGGGGGTTAAATAAATAAATCCAAACCTTGGCAAAAGTAACCCACTCTCCTTTTCCTGTTATACTGCGCTCCGCAATGCAGGGCTCCAAGATAAACTAGCTGAACTAAGTATTTTGTGACCTTTCTACCTAGGTTCAGCTGGAAGTTCAGAGAAAATGGAGGCAGTGGCATTTAAGCAAACACTTGCGTCAGCATCTCAGCACCTCAGCGAGTAATGGAGGAAGTGGCTTAACTCAAGAGATGCAGATGGTGAGGTCGAGCCCACCAGAGCACAGGAGAGCAACCCTCCAAAGATCAAGCGTGCTTTAACGCTGTATGCCAGGAGGATGCCTCCATGCTCAGATACACACGGTTAAGTTCCATGGACCATGCTGGGAGTCTTGTGTATGTATCCGAAAGTGGGACTTGGCTGTAGATCAACGGTTCTTAAAGCACATCTGTTCATTTATATCCTGTGTAGCACCGGAGTTATTTTGCAAGGCAAAATGGGCCACGACATTATGCTTTTCTTTGGGTTTCTGGCCACAGTCGTTTGTGTTTCTTTCCACACCAATATTTTTCAGCTATTTCCACCTTAAATAAGACCCTTCATTTTCTGTGTGGCTCTCCAACATGTTCCAGACTAAGCCAGGCTGGTGAGTTTTAGATGTTTTCTATTTCTCCTATTGTTGAAGCTGGGAGGACATTCAATTTTGTATGATGAAGGTGACATGCCATCCTTTAACACAGTCCATGGATTTGAAATGCATAATTAGTTCATCCCTAAAATTTACCAAGATTCAAAGTCTTTCTGTTGTGGTAATGGACAATGGACACTGAGAACATAAAGCACAGCTGAGCTTCTGTTTCCTCTCTGACTGCATATCCGTTGCTCAGGTATGCTCCAGTGACTGTTTCAGACAGTTTTCTTCCTTTGCCTCTTCTAACAGTGGAGACCTTGGAAATAACAGTGGTCCAATTTGGATCTTCATATCTTTTTGAAATAGTAAAAAAGCTATTATAGCATATTCCAAGAGTGGCCAAGAAATCTTTAGTAAGATGGCTCTTTCCTATTGTGTCTGTACGTCTGAGGCTCATCCCCCTAGTCTTTGAAGGGAAGCAATGAAAGCCCTTGAGACATTTAAAACTCAATTGAACTGGTCAGTACAAAGTATGTTGTGAAAAAACAACACCAAAGTGGCTGGCAAAAATCTCCTTAGAGTCTACGATCGCTCAGCATGCTGAAATCTGCAAGGCTGTACACTGTAATACGCTGTCACAAGGTATCTGAGCTTCTATTACAGCTTTATGTTCTTAAGGATAAAATTGTTAAGCAAGTTTCCCTGGTTTGAGTGGGAAAGGAATGAAACAATTCATCCAACAAATGCAATCAAGCTTCCTACTTGAGTTTGTATCTGTGTTTCCCCAGTGGGGGCAATTCTTGCCTGGTTTTCTTCAAGGGCAAAGATGACTGAGCAGAGAGCAAGTGGAGTTTATCACACTTCTCCCTCCTCCTCACCTACAAGACATTGGCAAAACATGCATGGTATGTCAAATGCTGACCAAGCGTCATTCCCCAACCGCTCTGCCAAAACTGCTCCAAGGACACCAAACCATCACTGTAAACTTCTGCCATTTTACCAGAAGGCAAACATGCAATGAAATTCAAAGGATGCTTTCAAAACTAAATTACCTGGGCAGAAGCAGATTTTTGAGTGCTATTAGCACTGTTTCAGACCCTGAGATTCAGGAAAAAATGTCTGTTTTTTCTCTGTCAGTGCTGACAGCTAGACCACAGAGCCTGGATCCTCCCTGGTGAAGCAGGCATCGCTGGCAGCAGCACCACTGATGGCAGCCAGGCCAGGAGGGAGGCTATCACGTTCGCTCCAGCCTCCCCTGCCCAGTTGGCTTTGCCTGCTGATGCAGGTCACCCAGCAGCGGGAGAGTTGAACCTCTTTAAAACCAGGGAGGGAAAAAAAAAAAAATAAATCAAATATAAAGCAGTCAACTGGCAAGCGTTTCCAGGAATTAATTTTAAACTTACGTTTTTGGAAATGGCAAGGTTTTGAGTCGACTTTGTCCTTTAAAACTCAGCCAAAGCAAGTGGAAGGAAGAGCAGAAGCAGGATCAGTCCCGTGACTGAGGGAGAAGTGAAAGCCCCTCCTTGCACGTTTGGGTGAAAGATCTCCCTCCTCGCTGACTTACCCAAGCCCAGCAGAGCCTCCAGACTTCTCAGGGGTTCATTCTGTCCCAGCGCATTTAGCAAGTCAGATACTTCCAAAAAGATACAACCATTACCCTAATTTTCTCTCTGGCCTAAAAATAAGACCAAGAGTGAAACAACTTGTATGTTCCCTGTATGAGAATTAAACATTTATCAGTCAAGCCAAAGCAGCTGTTTGTTTTAAATGCAAGTGCCTTCTTCCGGCATAAATGAAGAAATATAGATTCAGAGATATAATAACATGTAATTAATTAGATCTGATGCAATTATTGGCTCTCCCACGAGCCAGTGTAAGAGCTCAGCCCTGCAGTGCGTAGTTAGGACCAGCACTGATGGCACAAGGTCAGGAGAAGCCCAGGCTGAGCATGACACCTCTTTGTACAGGAGTCCTGGTGAAACAGGGGTGAACGATATGCCCTGAAACAAAATGCTGCTGGTTTTTGTATTAAAAAAAAAAAAAAAGTTCTAGCATAAGTTATTGTTTTACCTGGCCATTTTGGTTTTATTTGACTTACCTGGAATAACCAAAAAAAAGGAAGTATTCCCAGATTCTGTATCACATGTTTGCTTCAGGCACTGAGCACTAGCCTGGTTCGTATGAAGAGCTGAGACACCATAAAAACCCTCGGATGTCAGCAGGCCTTCGGAGTCCTTGGCTTTTTGGGAAAAACAAGTCCACTCGGAGGGGTGCCAGAAGCAGATGGCCCCAGGCATTATGATGCTGTGACCTGGATGTAGAAAGCTGCTGCCAAACACCACCGTAGTAGGATGGGTTCTCACCTCACCCATCTTCTGCACAGGTGATGCAAAAGCACCCTTCCCTGCTGGGGGTCTCTCTCGATTAACCGTACTGACAAATACTAAAGAAAAGAGCCACTTAGCTCCGGGAACACTTGACATATTTACAAGCAGATGAAGAGGAACAGGGAAGTAAATCTCAGCGAGCAATGCAAAATGTGGGCAGACCCCAGCGCCAGTGGCCTGAAACTACTAACAGAGGCTGAACACAAACACCACATTCAGCGTTCACCAACTTCCCTTTCTCTATACTTGCTCCTTGGTATTCAATGTAAAGCAGGCGTTTTGCTATCAGTAAATAGGATTTAAGTACCATCTTTCAGACAAGTAGTTATCAATGTTCAGGGACACTGGTGACAGCCTCTGGCTCTTCAGGCCAGGTCCCCTGAGACACCAGTTGCAGCTCTTACAGCCAGCAGCGCAGGCAGCCGCTCCAGCAGCCTGAACATCAGCAGTCTACGACCTAAGGCTGAATTTAAGAGGAAGTGATTAATGGATTTTTCTCTCCCAACACAGCAACAAGGAAGTTCCCAGCAAAACGTCAGAAGCAAAAAGCAGTATTGTTGTGCAGTGAATAATTACCTTGTGCAACACCTCACTGGGCATCGGGGGAGCTGAACTGAACTGTTTGAGAAGGGGGTGGTGTCAATTCAGAGGGGTTGAAGCCATGCGAAGGTGAGAGGCCCCAGGAATCCAGCCAACACCCCTTCCAGGACACCCCCCCGGGCAGACCTTTCTTTTTCCCAGAAACGAGGCCCTTCTTGATGGAAGGTTTAGAAGAAGGGGCATTACCTGCTTACCATAGGCCCCAGCAGAGGGAAAGAGAAGGCAGGTGAGGGCAGTCATTGTCCTGTAACCACCTTTACCTGGCTCACAAAAACAAGCAATGCTGAACACCCAAACCAGCCGTCCCTCCAAGCACAGCTGATGAAGGTACTGCAGACTTAAAATACCATTAACAGTCCAGGATATCTCCCTCGTTAGCATGCCCTGTACCATTATTTCCATGTTCTTATCCACAAGCAATGGTTTTGTGCACAACCTTCCAATTAAAGTTAGTAACTGAGCAAGTCTAAACAGCTCATTAATAAGAGGTGATGTTCATTACCCAGCTTTTAAGAGATATTAAGCCATCTGAGACAGGCCAATGACCTCTCCCATCAGAAAGAACACCAGGTGCTAATTAACTTACTTGAGATTACATAAACTAATTCAGTGGTGAAGCTGTTTTCCTGACATTTAACTAAACCTTTTAGTACTGTCAGCGGAGGGGAAAAAAACGTTTAAATACATTTGTACTCAGATACCACTTCTGCGGGCCAAATAAGCAAAGCTGGGGAAAAGAGCAAGGATGCTTCAGACACGGGGTGCGGTGTGGGAAAAGGGAGGTGAAGGACACGGGAAAGGGCTCTTTAGCTGGTAAACAGAGCACATGCAGCAGCAGGAAATCATTAAGAGCCGACAAGGTTATCTCTAATTCTCACAAAGCAGCACAGCTGACTGCCCCTCTTGTTTTGCAAGACGAGAAAGCGGTGCTGGCTGCTGCTTGGGTTGGTGTGGACACAGAAAGGAAAGGGGAGGGGAGTGTGCGGCAGCCTCGGCTCCCTTGGTCCGGAGCTCGGCAAAGCGCCAAGCAGTCATTTCTTCATCGGTCTAGCTGGGTAAACACACAGAATTGGCGCCTGGGAGATTACATAAACCCCGCTCGTCCCCTTAAATCTGCACCCCAATATCTAAATATAAAAAAAGAGAATTACAGTTATCTTATTTCAAAGAAATTTATTTAACAAACTTCAGGAATATTGCTTGACACTTCCACAGGCTTCAGAAAATGAACAGTTGCCCACTGCTGCACAGGTTGCTGTAGATAAGGATGTCTCCAAGACAATCAACACTGTTTTGTAGTATTTAGCCATCAAAACGCATCTTCTCCCAGAGTTTCTAAGTCTAACAGTACTATACAAGGCCAGCTGGAAAAAAAAGTTACTGTATTTTCCCTAGAGGATTCCCTACCCCCAACAAAAGGCCTCTTCTTCAGCTAGCAGAGGGCATCCTAAAATCATTCACAATTGCACCAAGTCTTGGGTGAACTCAATGGCCAATTGTCCACTGCCTCCCTCTAACCCAAGCGGGAGGCACCAGCCTGGGACTCAGTCTGGCTACGGCTGCCTGCCCCCAGGGAAGGGGCTGGGGACACAGCCTCCCACTAGCACGAAGGGGAGTACACACGGAATTGATTTCCAGTTTTGGATGTCACCAAGAAGGCACTCTGAAGTCACATCCATGTTTCTAGACAAGCCATGGACACACTTGACCTCATGTAGGGGAACTGTCCTGTCCAGCACAGGCACCCATAGGCACCACAACTGACTTACCGGTTAGTTAAGGCACTCTACTACCTGGTGACACCAAAGTGCAACAGTTTGGGACCAGGCCTTGCAGACTCTCTCTGGCCTAAGTGGCTCTGCTAAAGCCAACAGCACTGTTCACAGGAGAATCTGCAAGTTCAGCCCACAAGCATGTCTTTAACAGTGCAATTCAGCAAATCAAAAGCACCTTCACAGAGACACACAATCACAGTGCAGTTTTCCAGAGGCAGGTTAAGGGCACAAGTCCTTGTCCTTGAGAGAGGATCGAGACAGAACCCCGAACATTGCAAGAGCTTCAGGAATTGGCTGGATAGCACAGCTCTGCGCATTATCTCACCAGAAATCGGGCACACTCACGTGCAAAAGCACAACCGGCACTTTCCAGAGCAAGCCTGGTCTGAAACTGCATCACAAAACAGGCTTAGTAGTGTTATCTTAAAAAGTTATGGAAATCTGAGAAGGAATGGAGACTGTCCTCATGAAGGTGAGTCCACAGGAGCACATTCAGCAAGTGTGGATGTATGCTCAGGCAGGACTTGTGACTCGTGGCTTTCAAACACAGTGCTGTTTACTCGTGGCTCGCCTACACAGCCTTCTTGACCTTCGCGCTGTGATGCTGTTGTTTCAGGTGAAAAATTGTGTCAAACTTGCTGCACAGGAAATGAAAGCCTTGCTCAACAGCTATCAGACAAGCTACAGAGATGAAATGTAGAAACATTTGTTCTAAAACAAAAATACAAGCATTTTTACGAGCTGATACAAAACAAACATTAAAACAGAGACCCTGAAACACTCTTAAGATATTTTTATCTGTGGCCAATGGAGTGCTGGATGTTGGACAGGGAGGACACGAGGGGCAACCCAACCTCTGAGGTCTCTTGCTGAGGTCTTCTCTCCTTTTACAGACAGCATTGAGAACTTCAAAGCTGCAGCAATTGCAGAGGTCTTGACTCAAGCATTTGCAGGAGGAAGACCAGCCTTAATACAATTTGGCCAAGTCTCTTTGGATTTCCATCACCTGTGACAGATTAGAGCTGTTGCCATGAGCCCCTTCTTCGGCAATCTTGGGCTTCTCCTCCCAGGCCCACTGTTAATCAGGGGGTGAAAAGGACTTGGTCTGCTCAGGAGGATCTAGAACTTTCTTCTCCCAGAAGAAATGCTGCAGGAGACACTCAGCTACAGGATGAGATTTCCCATTGCCTCAGCAGGACATCCTGACAACCAAAACACACCCTGGAAGGTGCAGTGGTCTCAGCATGGTCTACCCAGCCACAATGCCCCTTCAGAGGTTGTCTCTCTTGCCCCAAAGGGACAAAAAAGAAACCTGGAAGAGCAATGCCCCATTACAGAGAACTTTGCAAGGACTGTGAAGGAGCCAGTTTGGGTGACTGATTGGCATGTGTCCTACAGGGGCAGCAGAGGAGTGGTGACAACAGGGAGAGGCCATGAGCACAGGAAATGTGCTCTGCTGCCCAAGGAAGGCATCACAACCCTTCCCCGTACACCTGCGTCACCCAACAGCAGTCCTTGGCCCCAAGACAGCTACATCTCCCTGCGCCTCTGTCAGAGTTGTCCCAGAAAAACTCACAGAGGGAAGGACAGATACAGGGAACATGCCAGCAGGAAACAAAACGGGTGACTAGATTAAGATCTGTGTGCCTTCTCTTTTGAAAGAGAAATGGAGGAGTGAGATCCAGTGAAGACTTTCAATACTCCAAGCCAGTGAGCATGGCCAGGCCCAAATCATCTGTCCCTGAGACAGAGCAAAGCCATGAGACACACTGAAGATGCGTCACTCTTCACAGGCTCTAGAATACGGGGGGAAAGCACAGCAACACCAAACCCATAGCAGTCCAGGCTCTGTGTAAGCCTCAAAACTGAGCCCCCATGTGTAGATCGCAGTCTGCCACCCCTCTGCATGTTTAACGGGATGTCCTCTTCTTTAATCCACTCCTCCAGAAAACCGCATTTCAGCGGCAACCAGTCTCAGTCTCTGCTTTGCTCGTGTTGTGCGGCCCTCCACACTGACCAGCGGGTGGATATGTCTTCTACAGGCATCGACTGACTCACGCTTCCCCTCCTTGCACACAGTTTAAGACACGGTGTCCTTTTCAAACTTCATTAGACTCCCTTTTTTCCAGTCTAATTGGCAAAGCTGATTACACAAAGGTGGAGGTACACCCTTTGCGCCTAGATTTTGCCTACCCCGTTCCTAGGGTGCGTGAGGCTGTTGATGTGAAGTCCGCTGATCCCATTAAGGAAGAAGAGAAAGGCAGCAATGAACTCGCACCAGTACGTCAGTGTGAAGCCCGTGAAGGTGAGGTGATCCTTCACGAGAATGGAAAAGCTCAGAACTCCAGTAGCCGACAGCAAAAAAGAGCCCAGGATGAGAACTGAGCCCATCGACCACTTTCGCCTCGCATTGGCGTCCTCGCAGACTTGGGACACCATTAAGAGCTCCAGGCCAAATATGGCAACCACAACGGCAAAAGACACCATGCTTCTTATGGGAATCACCCCCACGCTCAGCCCTTCCACCTTGGCCAGGCTGAGGTCAGTGACACACTTCAGGACGCTGCCGTTGCTAACGGTGCAGAAGTGCCACAGTCCGAAGAGCTGCCCCCTCGCGAAGAGCCAGCGGCCATCGCAGACGGAGATGGATGACAAGACCACTGCTATGGCCACACACAAGATGATCAGGCTCCTGATGAGCGTCTCAAAGAAGGGTTTCTGTGGTGTCCGGTGCGTCAGCAGCCTCTGCGCCTTAAAGGATAGTGGAGGGGGAAGAAAAAACCTGAGTTTTTTCGCAACTACTTAAGGGTGAAATGAAACCAGAGGGACAAAGCTGTGGGGACTTCGGCATTTGAAGTGATTTGCTTGTGCACACCAAACCCTGTCTCGCAGGGGAAGGCAGCGCAGTTACAGGCTGTACCCAGGAGAAAGGAAGGGTGGGTGAAGCTCTACCGGTTCCTCGGCTGCACGGACAATGAATGCTCCCACGTCAGGGCCCGGGTTCGGGATCACAAAGGCTCCGGGCTAAGCAGGATCCCTGCCCCACGGCACAGCCTCCTGCTCTGGCAGGGCTGGAGGAAACCGCCGGCCCC